AGTATGACTCTCCTCATATAAGGCACCATGATGACCTCAAGTCAAAGAACAAATTTCACTACCGAACGTTAGAGATTAATCGCTGACACTCAAATAGTTATCCATGTGGAATCTCTCAGTATGTCTCCAATGTTTATAACAAAACAGTATAACAAAACATCCACGTGTTCATTTAAGTGTCACCACACTTTAGTTTGTAAGATCCGCTACTTACTTCATAAGAAATACCACACGTGATGATCTATCTATAATAACGATGATCTTATCTCGTTATTTTTTATGACCACGAACGATTTAAGATTCAATCATATGTAATTTGTATCTCACAATCACAACTCCTCATGATTAACAAATTATCAAGATTTGAATCTACAGACTCAATTATTTAATTTAATTAAATATCTATTATTTAATTTAATTGAATATCAATTAAATAATAGATCTGTCATAAAATTGCATCGATTATTTATTAAAAGTATTTATGTCCAATGTTGATTGGACATAGGGCATAACACTTATATCATAGTCAAAGATAAAATCATCTGCTTCACTATCAATGTACTCAGTCTCTTCTTCTTCTTCTTCTTCTTCCTCGTCCTCCTCCTCCTCCTGAGACGACGACAGAGATGATCTGGAGACGAGGGGGATGGAAGTGATGGGGTAATAGGGTCATTTGGAATGAATTCAGATAAATTGTTCCCAGTTTCTATCTTGATGACATGCAGTGTTTTCTCAGGGACCTTCTCATCGTTCGATATCTTAGTCTCAGTTTTGTGCATCCTATTTTGCTCTTCTTGCATTAACGGATATTGTTCTGGAGAGGGAGATTTTGGGGGGACAAAGAGGCAGTGGGAGGTGCCCCATTTTTCACCTCAGATAATTTAGGCGCCGCCATCTTTCTGCCAATTTTTACATCACTGCTTTTTCTGCCTTTCCCATTTATACCATCTAAAGTGTCAGATGGGGAGGACGATAGTTTCACCTTCACAGGTTTCAACTGCACAGAAGGAGAATGTTTCTTGAACATATTATTTGTTCTCTTCTCATCTCTTGGCATCTTATTGTCAGTTGAGGTATCTAGTTTAAAGCCAACTTCATCTATTTTAGGAGGCAACGAAATTTCCCTCTTGATAATTTTGGGCGGATCTAGTCAGGGACGGACCCACATGGGGTCATGTGGGGTGAAATGACCCCACAAAATTTTGCCTCTGTTTGGTCTCTTTTTTTTTTTTTTCAATCTACTTTGATGCACTCGTCGGGATGTCAGAGGAAGTCAAAATATTGCATTCTTAATATCATTTCGAAGTGCTCATGGCCTAGTTTTTTACTTATTAATGGCATACGAAGTGGTCAACTATAGCAAAAGTTATGACATGATAACGTAGAGCGTTTGAAACTAGTATTTTGAGAATTCGATAATATTCTAAGTTTAAAAATTCGTTTGGGATCATATGCTATCTGAATCCACAAGTCATCTATACCATGTAAAAGTTTGTTTCGAAAACTAAATTGTTTTCATATCGAATGGTCCAAACGAATATCGAAAATAGTTAAATATGTATCAAACGTACGCTTCAAAAGAGACGTCTAACTCGTTTTTCTTTTAAAAAATTCAATTAATTATTATTTTTGCACGATAAATTTTTCAATATAATTTATATTGTTTCATTCGGAAGTCTTACATGAAATATGACGTAAATTTTTTAGGGTCGTTATGAATTAAATACAATTTGAATTACTTTCGAATTATATTTACTTTAAATTTGAATTTCACTTACTTCTTGAACCAAACTTGAATTTTATTTCGATTCATTTAATTTACTCAATGTTAGTTCAGCATTTGCCAATGAAATGATAAACAAAATTATACAAGTAGCAAAATTTATTTAATAATATTAATAATGATGTAATTATACGACGTTTTCAAAGTGTCAAAATACATATAAACTTATTTTCATTGATATTATGTTGTTTATTAAAAAAATATTTTTAAAAATTTGACCCCACAATACTAAAGGTCTGGGTCTGCCCTTAGATCTAGTGAAGAGGCTTTGGTAGTAGGTGAAGGCTTGAGTTTTCGTATACCGATTTTAATACCAGAGGAAGTCTTCTTATTTGGAGAATGATTTTTGGCCTCCGAGAATGGCTTGCTCTCCGGTGAATAGGATTTCACATCGGCAGAATGCATATTGCATTCAGGGGAGGGCTAGTGCTTGATAACCATTTCCTTCTTTATCTTTGCTGGAACTGGTGTGTCCATAGGATTCTGCTTGTTTGACTCAAGTTTTGTCATTCTCTTCAAAAGAGGGCACCTTAACTTCTCTCCAAATGATCAAATGCATGTTTTTCTGCCATATTTGCAGAAATCATGGCAAGAACCAGTTGAAGCTCTCAGATAATGAGAAACTGCACGTTGACTATTATTTGAAGAATCCGGGTTTCCAGTAGACTTCCTTGTTGAATTATCTCCAGCACGATACGAGCCCATGGATGTTCGGCGGCAATCGGAATTAATACTGTGTCCATTAATTAAGGAACCTGTATTTTTGAAAGAACCCTTTCCTGCATACTCTCTGTTGAATCCATTTGTTTCTGGAGTTATACCGAATCAATATTCTCTTTAGCCATAGAAGTGTAGAAAGCCAGAAACTTTCAAAGCCCTCATAATCTCCTTTATTTATTTATTTATGTCTTTAAATTTGTACTTGGGAATCTCATTGTCATTACCCTTAAAGCTAGCCATATTTAATTAAATAATAAGTAGGCACTGGGTAGAGAACCACAAGCTAACAATTTGGTTTATGGACAACCTTGTAGAAATTCAATAGATTGATAATAGATGCAGAGGAATGGTATACCAGTCAATGCACCACATCTAATACACAGATGACGCCAATCATTTATTTTCCTCTAGCAAGTTTTCCAATTTCAACAGACACATCTTCTGATAAGCTAAGAGTGTAGATCTTTTATAATTAAGTGGATAAGTAAAACATGCACAATGACTTTACCTGTCCATAATTGTCTAAACACAAATCACAACTCGACGATTGTTGAAAAAATTGAGCAATTTGTATATAGATTTATTTATCAAATGGCATAATCAATTAATTGACATAAACATAATCCAACAATAATATAAAATAAGAAGAGGGTTAGAAAAGTAAGCCTCGGGAGTCACGTCGAAGATACTGTTTTAAACTCGTGTTGTCTTCTCTTTTTGGGGGGTTCTTTCGGCACTACACGAATCCAAAATAAAACTCATGTGGCTTTCCTTTTATGGGCACGATCATAGGGAGATAAGTGAATGAGCCTTTATCAAGAGGCCAAAAGTATAATATAAAATTGTAGAAAGGATAATGCTTCAAGTGTTTCTCCCAAATTATAGAAATTGTAAAAATTTAATCCCCGCAATAATGAGAATTATCCCAATTAACAAATGAGTTACACTATGAAATTATGAGTTATCATTTTGGAATTAAACATAGAAATTAAAAAGAAAACTGAAAATTAATGGGCATTAGATTTGAAATATTGAAATTTATATTATGTTACAACAATAATTGCTTAAGATATTCCTTGAAAAGTGGCAAGCTATTTATCATTTTTCTCACGTAAATATTATAATCACATAAGCCCATAGTCAATTATCTTTAATTGTTATAAAAAAAAAAGCATAATCTAACAATAACATTTAGAATAATGTTATCTAGTACCAGTGCTAGAACGCCATATGATATTATGTAATATGTTCAATTAAATATAAAATTACATCATTCATTTAGTTGTAAATTTCATTTACTGACACCTAGTTTCTCCTTAATTTGGTGTTGTAATATTAGTTGTGCTAAATAACATTATTGCTAACATTAATCTCGTATATTTAGATTAAAATATGCCATGCATTTCATTACAATGCAATAACTACTTATCAATTGGACACCTAAAATAGTTGAAGCATATCTGGACCATCTATTGTAATAATCATTAGTTTTATAACAATTTTTATAATTAGACAATTTAATTTAAAATAAAAAAATCCATGATACACTTAAAGAGCATAAAAATCGTACTATTTATATAGAACCCTATGCAGTGTGGTGTAATAATAATAATTTAATGATAGAAAATAAATAAATTGCGGTTTAGTCATGATACAAACTCATTCATTTAACATGGAAGTTGTGCTATAGAAATATCATTTTGAACCTATTTGCATATTATGTAAGAAAAAGTGTACAATATACAACGTTTTAAACACAAAATAAATTCAAATTTTATCAAATTTATTCCACTTTCCCAAATATAATCCTTATTTGGTAAGACTACGATAAAAAATACTACCAAAATAAAACAACTACCCAAAATATGTAAACCAGATTTCATTTATTACCAATTTAATTAATATTAATTAATTATTACATGGACAGTAACGTATAATATGAGAAAAGATTACAACAATTCAATTAATGGTTTAAAATATTTCCGTTATTATATAGGGAAAATTAACCCTTTACAACAAAAATATATTGAATGCAGTATAAAAATCAAACTTTAGATCTTCCTAATCAAAAGCAAGATGCTGAAAATAGCACACATAGTAATGAATTGATTAGAAGAGACAAAACCTGGCTTAAAATTAGTCAAATATTCTCAAAAAATGTATAAATTGCAATAATAATTTTATGCCTCTATTATGTTTTCAAAAGTTGGCTAAGTATTTATGAATTGTAATTCTGGTACGAATTATTTTTAGGTAAAATATTTGCATCCGAAATCTTCAAAATTGAGGTTTTGAGTCCTCATTTTATTTAAATTTGTGGATTCAGATCCCAAGTTAACGAAAGTGTCAATGAAGATGTTAAGTTATTTGACGATTTTACCATCCAACGTTAAAATCTCATGAAATATTCATCTGATATTAATGTTCATTTTGACTGTTTCTATCTCTTAAAAATATAAATTCTTGAATTTATATAGGTTGAGGATCCAATTTTTTGCTTTTGTAGATTGAGAATCCAAAACGTCAAGAGAACGAAGAGTTTTACACAAAACAAAATAGCCATGCAAAAGCAAAAGCTTGCCGTTTCAAAGCCATTATGGGGCCTCATAAATACTCCTATCTCTTTGCCGCTCCGTATTTCTCGCTTTCTCCCAATTTTATAAACCCTGTCTTTTCCAGTTTTAGACCAAAACCCTCTTCAAAAAAAAAAAAAAGAACCCATTATTTTTCTCTTTCTTTATACATGCATGTATGTGCCATTCTAGTATTTTAGAGTTTAAAACGCAGGAGAGACCACAGCCCGACAGATTGAAGAGGAATTGGTGTTTTGGGATCTTAATTGTTTAATTTTTTGGGGTTTTGTGAAAGAAAAAATGGGTCGAGGAAAGATCGAAATCGAGAAGATCGAGGATGTAAACAACAGGGAAATCACTTTTAGAAAGAGACGCACAGGCCTGTTGAAGAAGGCACATAAACTGGCTGTTCTTTGCGAGGCAGAGGTTGCGGTTATAATCTTTTCCAACGCGGGGAAGCTTTTCGAGTTTTCCAGTTCTGAGTATGCACTCTAAGCTTCTCAAATTATTCCTTTGGGATTCTTTTTGGATTTTTGAGTTGGGGTCTCATTGATTTGATGCATTTGTGTTCTTGTTATTATTTGATTTTATGCTTTAATGGGGATTTATAAACTTTATTTGATCAGAAATTTTGAGTTTGATGTTGTTTTAAACGCTAGCAATTTTAAATGTTGACTTTGGATTGATAAGTTACGGTTTTATTGGATTTTCTTGTAATTTGACTTTGTTTAATAATTTTCTAATAGTGTGTTATTGAGTTTTCCAGTGTTTGATTCTTTTTTATTTTTTATTTTTGAATTATTTGGCGCTCCAAATACAAAAGTAATACAAAAGGCATTGGAATGCTAGTGTAAATTTTATTTTTGAAATAATAATTGACAATTTTGTGGGGCCTCATTCTCTGCTAAGATTTAAGTTTCTGGATTTTTACTTTTATTTCATTCCTTGCAATTATTGATTCAATTAATTGCTGATGTTAGTGCGTATCAATCTAGTATTAGTCTTTTTCTGCAATTTTCTCCTCTTCTAGAAGATGCCGAAATATAATAACTCGAATTAAAAAAGTTTGAAATTTTGAAATAAAGAGATTAGCTATGACAATATTGAGTCGGTGGATACGACAAAATGAGTCAGTTATCGTCACTGAATGAGTTGGTCATATGACGAAAGAAGTTAATAGGTACATACACAACATGAACTGGCCGATACCAACAAGACGAGTTAGTCCATCAAGAGTACTATCCCTTTAATTGGAACACATAAATGAGGATACATGGCAAAATGTTTGCATTTAGTAGATTTTGTAAAAGCTGATCAAATGCATGGTTGAAATGTTGATAAAAGTTTTGTGTCCTATGAAATGTGTGGTTGAAATGAGTTTTAAGAATTGGAGGTCGAATATGGGCTAAATGTATTGCAAAATTGATGCGTATTAGTTTCGACTATCAGTTTTACGTTCAACAATATTGTGTGGTGAACAGTATGGAAATTTCTCTGTTGTTGCAGCATGAAGAGAACACTTTCGAGATACAACAAGTGCCAGGGCCCATTCGAGGTGCCCGTACCAGCATTCAAGCCAGAGGTCTTTTATATACTTTTTGCTAGTTGTTGTTTTGCAGTAGGCTTGATCCCTTCCCTCTATTCTCAGTCCCTAAGTCTGATCTTTCTGCTTAATTTGCAATTAAATGGAATTTTTGTCAGGTTTTACTTAATAATTACAACTTCTGATGATTTTATTAAAAATACACGATGATATTCTATACTGATACTTGTCTGGCTCTCAGTTTAAGAAAATTTGACTACAGAGTACTCGATTATGTAGCTGTGAGAAGACCTTATACCCGTTATATGTTCGTTAGAGTGGCAATTTCTTGGTCACTTCTCTGTAAGTGATGATTTCCTCTCAATTTTAATCTTTGCTAATAACAACTTTTTTTTTTTTTTTTTGTATTCCCTCTTATTTAACCTGAAACAGGAACCCAAGGAAGTGGACTTACTCAAGCTGGAAATACCGAAACTTACAACGAAGCAAATGTATGATTCTCTTAGTAAACTGAATGTCGATTACTAAATTTTTTTTTTCCAAATGTGAAGGTTTTTTAAATGAACTTTTGCCTGTGATGTTTAGGAAATTCTTGGGTAAAGACCTCACAGGGATGAGTGTACAAGAACTGGGTGCTCTCGAACAACAACTCAATGAAGGGTTGTTATGCATAAAGGAGAGAAAGGTTAAGCTTTTCTTCCTCTTTCAGTTGTATAACCTGATTAACTAGTTCTTACACAGGAAAATTGGAATGCAAACGACCATACATATTTAAGTTCTCAAGAGACTTTGGGGTCGTAATAGAATGTTCTTCATTTTCAGGAGCAACTATTGCAGCAACAACTAGCACATTCGAAAATGCTGGTATGACGTCCTTGACTTTTATCTAGTTAGACCATGCTATAGAGATGTGACAAGAATTTCCGAGTAAGAGAAAACCAAACATATCCGGTTATGAAAATTGGAATACAAGAATCAGATCATGTATCAGATCGAATTCTGAACATGATAATGGAATTGGGTTCCAGAATTTTTTGACATAAATTTCTGTGACAAAAGTACCTAATTTACTTTCGAATGCAGGAAAGACAAGCCACTCTGGAGAACAAAGCTTTACGTGAACAGGCAATCTGAGTTTTTCTTTACGTGACAATAATTCCTCATAGCAGGCTTTTAGTTATGAATTATATCTAAAAACCTTTTATTGGTTTCATATGTGATGCAGGTAGAAAAATTGAAAGGTTTCTTTCCATCGATCGAGCATTTGGCACCACTCGTCTTAAAGAACTCTCCCGTGGAAAAGAATAATTATGGGAGTATAGGAGGTGGGCTTGATGATGATGTCTCCAATACCACTTTGACCTTGGGGTATTTTGCTCCTGCTTGATCTTGCATAGCATCAATCTTACTTCACTGGTTTTTCTTCGGATTTTATGAAATTTCTTAAATATTTTCTGTCCAAATGTTCTTCTATATTTACATGCAACTTCTCTTGTCCAGGCCAACATATGATGTTTGTCGAAAAAGGAAAGCATTTAATGGTGAAGCAAGTACAAGCAACATTGAGATTTAAGTTGGCCAGCTAGGATCCTTCTCCTGTTGTATACCATCATTCTGGGCGATAGGATTAAGCTGACAGAAATAATCCAGTTTAGTGTGTTGAAAGCAACTAAAAGCTATATTTTATTTTTATTTTTCTTTTGACAACTCCCTTTTTTTTAATTCTATTTTTAGACAATGTCCTTTATAGATCTCATCTTCAAGATCTAGGAATGACTAGTTACATAGGTACTACTGGTGTTGATATTTTTCTTTCTCCAATAAAATTATTCGGCAGCCTGGTACTTGGATGGTTTTCATAATTGTGTTTCTTTCATGGCATGTCTGGTCTATACTCTTTTAACTTCAACACATGTGATATACGGTCTTATAGGCAATTGTCTTCTCTGCTTCCTGGGCATCTATTTGTTACGGGTTCTGAAGCTAGACAGTTTGATCGGATTTTTAAAAAATTTCCTGCTGAAAGGAGCAATGATAGACAAAATTTCAGGCCTTTACTCTGTGAGAAATGCTACTATTGAAGTTTGACCCACATTCGATTGGGTTTTGGTTGATTAGTTGAAGTCGGCCTCGAAGAGGTGAAGATATGGACCAAGGAATGATTTCGATTTCGCTCGCTGCAACCCAAGCTCTCGCTCGAGAACTCAAACTTTATGTTATTTTCGATCTCGCTCGCTGCAAATCAAACTTTATGTTATTTTCATCTTTAGGACTTTTATTAGGGTTTTGACACGATCCCTAGTAAACTCTTCTTTACGATTAGAACAAGCTAGATAATGTTGTAAATACAATATCTTTGTATTGTTTCTCCATATTATAGTGAATTCTCCTTTCCTCTGCCAAATTTTTTGTGTTCTTCTAATGTTGTAATTGCTACTTTTTATTGTGTTATATAATCTTTTCCTTAATTCCTACCAAGTAGTATCAGAGCTTAAAGTTTGATTTGTCAATGCAGTATGATATTCCACTTTTGGTTTGCAACACTAGATTCTCATTTTTGGAAAGTGAAGATGCAAGGTGCTCGCTCAGGTGGATTTAGAAAGCACTGTGTTGGGATTTGATAAGATGCCCTTAAATTAGTCTATGGAAAAGAAACAACGTAAGAATCGAAAAGCTTTATCACAGATTCAAGAATCGAAAAGCTTTATCACAGATTCATCTTAATCTTTCAAATCATATTCTTCAAGATGTTCTGAAGAAAAAAACCGTAGCGGCATAATTATTGAAGTTGGAGCAATTGAGCATGACTAAAAGTCTAATTAGGAAATTATACTTGAAACAACGTTTATATTCTCATTGTATGATACTTTTACATTCCTAGAAAATTAACTTGCTGTCTTTAAAGAAATTGTCGATGATTTGAAAACCTTAGAAGTTAAGTAAGATAAAAAAGTTTTGGGGTTAAGTGTTCATTACCTGCTTTATATATGTCGTTTAGAGACACGATATTATATAATCGTAATACGTAGTTAGTATATGATGCTTTGCTTTCAAATGAGAAGATAAAACATCTAGTTGGATCTGAGCTCAAAAAGAAGGCCTTTCGTTGCTCATAGTGGCTATGAGATGGACAGTTCGAAGTATAGCTTGAGTAATAAAATTTGTAACTATTACAAGAAGAGGCATATAAAGAAGTATTTCTATAAGTTGCAAAATAGAGAAAAATTGGCTACGAATTAGAAAGGAAAGCAACCAAAAACTTCAGGTGAATCCGACATTGCAAAAAATTGTAATAGTTATGAAGAACTTTTGATTATTTCTGAAAATGACTCCAAACTTGATGAGGATTGGATTCTTGATACAACTTTACTTTTTATATGTATTCTAATCGAGATTCATTTTCAGCATATGATTAAGTTTCGAAATTGGAAGTGTCAGACTTAAGGTGTTGGATGGGACGGTAAGAACACTTGATGAGGTTAATACGTTCCAAATTTGAAGAGAAATCTTATTTACTTGTTAAACACGCAACTAAAAGAAATATTAGGCCTCCACAAAGGTGCAAGCTGATTTAGTTGCATATGCTTTAACTGTGATTGAACGATTGAGTCTACCGAAGAATCTTTTACAAAAGCATTTTGTGGCACTGATTCTATTTTAGGGCATGTTTTGGCCCTGTTTGGTAACTTTTGAATTATATGTAATTTTGTTGCTTGTGGTGATAATTCGAGAAAATTTTGGGAACCCAAGGTAATTCTGCTAAGGAGTGCTTAAATTCATTTATCCTAGTTGGATTTTCTGGAAGTGGTGGAGAATTTGTTCGTTGGAGAATTGGTTGAAGTTCTTGTTGAAGAGTTCAGTTTTTGCCTTGTCATGGAATTACTATCCGAGTGGAAAATCTTTGAAGTTCAATTCATTGCATGGAATTTAGTTCAAGGTGGAGATTTACTGAAGTTCGAACCAAATTTAGTAGGGTTTTGGTGGATTAGTTGAAATGGGCTTTGAAGAGATCAACTTATGGAACAATGAATGATTTCGACATTTTTCACTCGCTACGCGCCAAGCTCCGACTCGAGTACTCGTAGCAAGGAGCGCGAGTTCTAGACTGGCACTCGAACATAGATGTGTTTTAGCCCATAATCCATTTCGCGTTTTGACTTATTTTTTAATGCTATTTTTATCTTTAGGATGTCTTAGGGTATTGGCATGCTCCCTATATATAGTAGACTTTTTTTTTATTTTTTTAATTATAACAATTAGAACAAGTTAGACTATATTGTAAACACAATATCTTTGTATTGGTTCTCCAATTATAGTGAATTCCCCTTTCCTTTGCCAAAATTATTGTATTTTTCTTGTATTGTGATCTCGTTACTTAATTCCTTACAGCTACCTATACAGAGGATCTGTATATGCAACAAGACTATCTATACAAATCCCCTATGTGGTATGCATTTAATGGATTTGAAAAATTCACCTATAGATGCATGCCACATGTGTACTTGTAAGGCTATCTATACAAATCCCCTATATAGTTAGCAAAATCATTTCTCTGTAGGACTATATTCAATGGGGGTATTGCAAACCTGGACGTGTTCTAACCTTAATTCCATGGTGGTATATTTGGCTAGAAATGAATTCTTCAGATGAATGGATAAACGATGGAGTGGAAAATACTAATTCGGTTACATGGGAGGTAATACGTAGGAAGCACACGAAATGGGCCTTATGCCTCGTAGAGCTAATCCTAGGCCAGCTCATATTAAACTAGGGATTGGAAGGTCAACACATTATTAAGCTTTCTTTTGCAAAGAATTTATTAACAGCTTAATTTATAAATAAATTAAAATTAAAATGTGTAACTAAAAAATGAAATTTGATTATTTATAAATTATTTATAAATTTTACAAAAATGGAGGCTAAGACTTGAGGTTTACTTTTAAAAAGTCAATCCCGTTAAGAGTAATTAGCCAAAATCTTTATATTTCGGTTATCGTTTTATTCTTTATTCAACATGTGATTAGTTTATCCTTTAATATGTTCCTTTAAGATGATTTCTCGTATTAAAACATCAATTTTGAAATTTGTGTACTCATTTGAGTTTTAATCTGATTGTAATGTTTGATTGGGCTTAACAAACTCTGACATCATATTAAAACTTAGGTTCCACTTAAAAGTTCGAGTAGCCCAAGCCTTTATGTTGATTTATACTTCTTTCTTATTATCTAACCAAGGTGGGTTTGTACCTTTAACATGACTCATCAAGATGGCAGCTAATTTGAGTACATCAATCTTAAAATTCAATTGCTTGTTTAAGCTATAAACAAACCAAATTGCTTTTTGAGTCTAATGAATTCTGTCATATTAACACTTGAGAATTCATCTTTTTAACAAACATTATTACAAGGAGTACCATAAAACCTTATATGTTAAATATTTATTTTATGTATAATTTATGCGAAATTTATCACTTAATTCCTAGATGGCTGAAATAAAGGCCAGCCCATGACTAGGTTCAGGAGGGAGCATACTAAGGAACACAGAGGAGAATAGATGGGTTTCGAATATTTTGGATGTAGATGGATTCTACCATGGCAATATCACCAAGGAGAATGCATGTACATGGGCTATACAGTATGTGGATGTAACCATCAAATTCTTACTTCGTCATTTTTTCTATACTAGATTATTTAACACACTTATTCGAGCCACGAAAGGTAGACATTTGCGAGTATTTATATCATTTAGATGCTTAATTTTTGCTTTTTTTGCTTGATTTAGGAGAAAATCCAAATTGGACAAGTTCGGATGAAATTGAATAGAAGCTACGCAATATTGAGGAACTAGGGACCAACGTAATCAAGTCTTGAAGTTAAGGGGCCTTCAATTGCAATTACTTTGAACTTGGAATGAATATTGAAATTATGATGAACCCATGAAATTTGGAAGCAAAGGACCCCGATTGCAAAGACAAAATGACTGACGTTGAACAAGAAGTTCAATATAGGGATCAAATTATACGGTTTGGATTGCACAATGAAAACATGGACTAAATTGATTACCATATGCAATCGCAAGACTTTACCCTATGCTAACACAGAGTAATTCGTGGAAAATTTCGAGATTTTTTCTATTCCCTAGTTTTACTCAAATTCTACTGTGGAAACATATTTAGACTTGTTCTATAGATAAATTTTTTACGAGCTATAAACATGATTTTCAATGACGAATAAAGGGAAATCAACGAATTTCGAGAAATTGAGGTTGAAAGGTAAATCAAAAAATTGCGAAGATCTATTAGAGTATTTAGGTTTTTGGATTCAAATGTGGGTGGATGAGAAGAGGACATGGTGGCTTTTTTAGAGGTATAAGATAAAGGAGGGATAATAAATGGTGAGTTTCTAAAAGGAAGGGGTTTCCAGAAAAATGGATAGAGGGAACGGAGTTCATGAATCAGTGACGTGGTTTTACCCATTGAAGTTTTCTCTTTGGAAGGAAGACAAAAGAGCACGAGCTAAGAAATGTGTTGAAAAGTTAACATGCTTTATCAAAATTATGAAATGTATTTACAACATAATCTGATACAACACATTAACGTCTCAAAGCAATACGTTTAGAAGTGGTGTGTTTGAGACAATATAAAAGTGGCGAAGAAAATGTATCTAATGATAATATTTCCAAGTTTTTGGAATCATATTGGAGTTGAATGTATGGAAAAGTCACCTCCTTTGGCTTAAAACTATTTGATCAGAATTTCAATGAAAAAATTGAAGAAAACTAGGTTTCTAAATAAATTCAACTATCTATGTCAAAGTTAGTGTAGTAGTTGTTGACCTTGCGAAATGGACCTTCCACGTGCTCAACTGAGAGCCTATCCACGTGTTCCTCCCTGCGCACAATAGCATATGGTTAGAAGCACACGGCCGGAACCAACGGGGGTGGTGGCGGCCGCATACACTCCGACGATCAAATTAGTAGATGGTGATCGGAACGATGCCAAAATTGTACAAGAGCGGGGAAGAGAAAAACTATACTTGTGTGTGGATAACTAAGTTTAGTATGAGTTTCATTACCATTGTCTCTTGCCAAACCTTAGATATTTATAAACGAGGAGCACATTAGATGTAGGACACGTGCATGCATCTGATGGTTTGATGTGTTCGCTCGTAGGCGTCAATCAGCCAAATTAATTCCTCCGAACTGAATTGACATAAAGTTGATACATCACATCAATCAATCCATGGAGATGTCACATCAATTAATCCGTGGAAATAAAAGGAATCCTGACAAAGATCTCTCTCAGAAACTGGCGGCGGAAAGTTGTTGA